TTAGTCAGGAAGGAAAAAAAAACTGGCAGGGAAATGGCAGAAATCGTACACCAAATCCAGTCATTCCTGGAGTGGAACCACAGTCGATGGCCTCCACTCCAAACCAACAGATACAGATACTAATGCCGGAAAAAAAATCCCCCCCAGTACATACAATACCACCAGTCCGATAACATTCTTCTTTGCAAATATACAGGGTCTAAAGCCAGCAACAAACAACAAAATACCTTTCATCCGTGGACTGCTTGCAGAGGCAAAGGCAATGTTCGCGGCTTTCACTGAGACCCACATAAAGGATCACTTGGACAACGAAATATGGATCCCAGGTTACAACCTATACAGATGTGACAGAGTGAACAGGCAAAAGGGGGGGGGGGTTGGCCTGTACATTGCAGAGTCACTTGTTTGCACAGAACTGCTAAATGCCTCAAATGATGTAGTGGAAGTTTTAGCAGTAAAGGGTCGAGAACCAAAACCTAGTCATTGTGATAGTCTACAAGCCTCCGGATGCAACATCCCAGCAATTCCAGGAACAGCTGTTAAAAATTGACACTGTCTGGAAAACCTTCCAGCTCCTGCACCCAACATCTTGCTCCTGGGGATTTCAACTTAAGGCACCTAAAATGGAGGAATATAGCAAATAATATTGTTGCAGTAATAACACCAGGAGGCAGCTCTGATGAAAACTCACACTCACGCGAGCTTTTAAATCTCTGCACAAAATTCAATTTAAACCAGCAAATAATAAAGCCTACTAGACTGGAGAATACACTAGACCTCATCTTCACTAACAATGATGATCTGATAAGAAATATCACCATATCAAAAACAATATACTCAGATCACAACATAATTGAGGTTCAGTCATGTTTGCGCGGAGCCCCAGACCGACATAATGAGATTAGTCACGTGGGAGCATTCACCAAATTCAACTTCAATAAAAAAAAACATAAAGTGGGACCAAGTAAACCAAGTCCTAACCGATATAAGCTGGGAAGATATACTAAGCAACACAGACCCCAACTTATGCCTAGAACAGATTAACTCGGTAGCACTCGATGTATGCACAAGGCTTATTCCTCTAAGAAAAAGGAGGAGTAGATGTAAAACAGAAAGAGACAGGCGCTCCCTTTACAGGCGACGGAAAAGAATAACAGAGCGGCTAAAAGAGGTCAATATATCTGAAATGCGTAGGGAGACACTGGTCAGAGAAATAGCAAGCATCGAACTTAAGCTAAAAGAATCCTTTAGGAGTCAGGAATCGCGGGAAGAACTAAAAGCCATAAATGAAATCGAAAGAAACCCAAAGTATTTCTTCTCCTATGCCAAATCAAAATCGAGAACAACGTCCAGTATTGGGCCCCTACTTAAACAAGATGGGTCCTACACAGATGACAACAAGGAAATGAGTGAGCTACTCAAGTCCCAATATGACTCAGTTTTTAGCAAGCCGCTAACCAGACTGAGAGTCGAAGATAAAAATGAATTTTTTATGAGAGAGCCACAAAATTTGATTAACACAAGCCTATCCGATGTTATCCTGACGCAAATGACTTCGAACAGGCGATAAATGACATGCCCATGCACTCTGCCCCAGGGCCAGACTCATGGAACTCTGTGTTCATCAAGAACTGCAAGAAGCCCCTATCACGAGCCTTTTCCATCCTATGGAGAGGGAGCATGGACACGGGGGTCGTCCCACAGTTACTAAAAACAACAGACATAGCCCCACTCCACAAAGGGGGCAGTAAAGCAACAGCAAAGAACTACAGACCAATAGCACTAACATCCCATATCATAAAAATCTTTGAAAGGGTCCTAAGAAGCAAGATCACCACGCATCTAGAAACCCATCAGTTACACAACCCAGGGCAACATGGGTTTAGAACAGGTCGCTCCTGTCTGTCTCAACTATTGGACCACTACGACAAGGTCCTAAATGCACTAGAAGACAAAAAGAATGCAGATGTAATATATACAGACTTTGCAAAAGCCTTCGACAAGTGTGACCATGGCGTAATAGCGCACAAAATGCGTGCTAAAGGAATAACAGGAAAAGTCGGTCGATGGATCTATAATTTCCTCACTAACAGAACACAGAGAGTAGTCGTCAACAGAGTAAAGTCCGAGGCAGCTACGGTGAAAAGCTCTGTTCCACAAGGCACAGTACTCGCTCCCATTTTGTTCCTCATCCTTATATCCGACATAGACAAGGATGTCAGCCACAGCACCGTGTCTTCCTTTGCAGATGACACCCGAATCTGCATGACAGTGTCTTCCATTGCAGACACTGCAAAGCTCCGGGCAGACATCAACCAAATCTTTCAGTGGGCTGCAGAAAACAATATGAATGTTCAACGATGAGAAATTTCAATTACTCAGATATGGTAAAACATGAGGAAATTAAATCTTCATCAGAGTACAAAACAAATTCTGGCCACAAAATAGACCCGAAACACCAACGTCAAAGACCTGGGAGTGATCATGTCGGAGGATCTCACCTTCAAGGACCATAACACTGTATCAATCGCATCTGCTAGAAAAATGACAGGATGGATAATGAGAACCTTCAAAACTAGGGAGGCCAAGCCCATGATGACACTCTTCAGGTCACTTGTTCTATCTAGGGCTGGAATATTGCTGCACACTAACAGCACCTTTCAAGGCAGGTGAAATTGCGACCTAGAAAATGTACAGAGAACTTTCACGGCGCGCTTAACGGAGATAAAACACCTAAAATTATTGGGAGCGCTTGGGGTTTCCCAAAACCCTGTATTCCCTGGAACGCAGGAGGGAGAGATACATGATTATATACACCTGGAAATCCTAGAGGGACTAGTACCGAACTTGCACACGAAAATCACCCCACTACGAAGAAAAAGACTTGGCAGACGATGCACCACCCCCCCCAATAAAAAGCAGGGGTGTCACTAGCACGTTAAGAGACCATACAATAAGTGTCAGGGGCCCGAGACTGTTCAACTGCCTCCCAGCACACATAAGGGGGATTACCAACAGACCCCTGGCAGTGTTCAAGCTGGCACTGGACAAGCACCTAAAGTCAGTTCCGGATCAGCCGGGCTGTGGCTCGTATGTTGGTTTGCGTGCAGCCAGCAGCAACAGCCTGGTTGATCAGGCTCTGATCCACCAGGAGGCCTGGTCTCAGACCGGGCCGCGGGGGCGTTGACCCCCGGAACTCTCTCCAGGTAAACTCCAGGAGTGAATGATGGTGAAAGTTTTTCTTTTTTGGGCCACCCTGCCTTGGTGGGAATCGGCCAGTGTGATAAAAAAAAAAAAAAAAAAAAAAACTGGCCAGTTATAACATAACAGACTTATCTGAGGTTCCTGGAGTTGTCCTGTCCTGTCGCCTGATATCTCAAGTTATGCAGGAATGCACATCCAACAATTTCGCCTCCTATTTGAGAGGTGTCAGTCCAATTTTAACCTCTAGAGCACGAAAAATTCTTCCCATTACACTAACGTTGTATCCAATTCAAATTAACAATGGCGACTGACCTCCCCAGCCGCAGGTTTCCCTATTTTCAATAACATACTTCTTTTAAAAATACAATATAGGGCATCTATTTACCTATAAATTACCGTATTTCCGGAAAATATATACAGTATTTTCCACAGAACCAGCGAGAGTGGTGAGCGTCGCTGGGCGGGGGGGGGGGTTGCCATTGTTTTTTTGAACTGGGCAAGAGAACGTTAGTGAAAATCGAAGGAATTTTCGTCGCTCTAGAGGTTAAATTGTGTTTAAAATCTCTCAAATAGGAGCCGAAATTGCTGGATTTGCAGTCCTGCAGAAGAATTATGCGCTTGGACAGGACTCTGTGATTAGATGGGAATAAGATAAATTAACCCAGGTGATGTCTATTTATGTTGAAATTCTGGCCAGTATTTTCTTCATATTTTAGGCAGGGGTTTGTGTATGACACACCAAGTAATCTCCAGACAAACTGATGAGTGTTATTATTATAAATTCTCCTTCAATGTACATGTAGTCATTTATTAAATTTAACATACAGTCCACATATTTATATTAATGTTGTACCAGAATTCCTGGTGATGTATATTTCATTTGAAATTAATATAGGTCCAGAGTGACTTGTGGAGATATGAGTAGAGTAGGTATCGAAGGACATTTTTGCGACCTAGGATGTCCTAAAATTCCTATATGGCTCTAACCTTCATAAAAAATAATTATCTTTGTTACTTTTATAATATTACTAGTATGTATCTAATGAGATTCATCCAGGTAATTTTAATTTTCCATAACACGTGTGCAAAAGTTGGGTATCTTTATTGTTGAAATGTTCCACCTACACAGTAGGCTTCTTCAGTTAGATACAGAGGCAACAGGTGTAGTAGCCAAATAAAGTTGATGTAATCAGTCTATCAACTTTGGAGAAATAATATTTGAGGTGGTCAGTCCTTCAGCCTAAAGAAGAGTTCAGCTCCATGGAGCTGAACTCTTCTCCAGGCCGAGGGACTGACCACCTCAGATACTATTTCTCCAAGAATGATAGACTGATTACATCAACTTTAATTCGCAACTACACCTGCTGCCTCTGTATCTGACTGATGAAGCCCATTGTGTAGACGAAACGTTTCAACAATAAAGATACCCAACTTCTGCACATGTGTCTTACTCATCAACTTGTCGATATCTTTTTTATACCATTCAATATATAGGTCACTTATTCTTGATATTATTCAAGTCATTAGGGCACTGTCATACAGGATTATATTTATTTAGTGGGCAGTCAAATACATCTTAAAATAACAATTATTCACTAGATAAAGTCTGGCTATAAATTATTAAGCTATTCATTAATTTCTTTACAACAAAATTTATATTATATTTGAAGAGAATTATATTAGTTTTGTGTGATTTTTTTAAGCAGTATAATTTGGAACTGGATTAATGCTATAAATATTGTTTTTTTTTCGTCTCACTTTCCTCATTCATAGTCCTACAAGCAGGCACCACTTACCGATCTCTATGTAAGCATTTCTACTGAGGAATTTGAGGAACTTCTCAAAACACCAGAGGCAGCACTGACAACACTTCAGGAGGAAACTACATATCTGGTTTCCGTTCCGGTTCAACTTCTTCTCCAGGTACTGACAGGAGACAGTCAGGGTTATTTAATACCTCCATGACAAAAACATGGTTAATACGACGAAAACAATATACATTTCTTAGCAAAGCCATGATAGATACTGTACATTTTTTGTCTAAATTATGGTTTAAAACCAGAAACAAAAGCAATAGACTATTAATAATATGAATATACAATAATAGGTCGGTAGACTTTATATAAACACAATAATGGCTAAGATATTACCATCACGAACTTCCATCATATTCATATATTTACTAGACACTGAACATGATTACCATGGTTAATTTTCTCCGACACTGCTAACGTATCTAAAAGTTTAAATTTACTACATTTTTGTTCTGAAAAATATTCCTTGACACAAACACTTAAAATTTCTAGTGAAAGTGAGTGCGTATGTGCGCGCGCGCGTTTGTGTGTGTACTCGCCTATATGTGGTTGCAGGAGTCGATTCACAGCTCCTGGTCACTAGTCACTACTAGATCACACACTCCCCACTCCAAGAGCCATATCATACCTCTTCTTAAAGCTATGTATGAATCTTGCCTCCACCACTTCACTCTCCAGATTAATCCACTTCCTGAAAACCCTAAGGCTATGGCTAGTCTGACTGTCCAACTTCCGGTTGTAGCCCCTTGTTCCTGTGTCCCATCTCTAAAACACACTGCCCACCTTGTCAATTCCTCTCAGTATTTTATACGTCGTTATCATGTCCTCCCTTTCCCTTCTATCCTGTGTGTCCTCAGGTTGAGTTCCCTTAACCTCTCCTCTTGTTGCAAACTTTTGCACTTCCTCCAATTTCTTGACGTGTTTGACCAAGTGTAGGTTCCATAATAGTGCTGCATATTCCAATACGACCTGACATGCACGGTGTACAGTCTCATGAATGACTCCTTACTTAGAAGTTGAAGTGCTGCAGCGGTTGATTGATGTGCCTCTCATGGGATGTGCTCGGTATAATGCTCACCCAAAGATCCTTTTCCTTAAGTGAGGTTTGCAGCCTTTGATCCCTTAGCCTTTAATCCCTCATTTCGATAGATTCATTGGAGACTGCTGCTAGTGGCACACAGTTCCTCTGCTCCCTCTCTCGGGACCTGTGGAGAAATGTTATTTGGGCCCACTGCCTTCGAAGTATTTAGTTCACCTAGCAGTTTCTTCACTTCTTCGGTTATGTGCAGTGTGTCCAGCACTTGCTGGAGAACCCTGAAAATTTATTACCTGGGACACGTCCGTCTCTCCTGTTACTGCAATGATGCTCTCAAACTCTGTTTCCTCCCAATGTCTTCTTTCATCATAAGTAGTCCCTTCAGCCTCCTGAAGCCCATGAATAATTAGTGACCTCTCCCTGTCTTCTTCCCCTTTCATTTCCCTCCATATCTCTGGATCCAATTTAAGCATCTCTGTTTCTATTATCATCTCCCAGGCACCCTGGTGGCCTAACATTTCTACTGCAAGAGACTTTTTAGCTCCTTTCCCTTCAGTCCCTTTGCTGTCTGATGATGTTTCTATTTCCACCACTTTACTCCTCTGGTCCTCATTTTTATATCCTGCTTCAGCATTTCCAGTTCTTCCTCCAGGCTCTGTATCTTTTCCTCAGCAGCTACAGTTCATAACTTCCACTTCCTGCTCTTTGCAATACAATGGTAGAGATATCTGAAAAGATCATTTAGCCTTTTTCCCCATTCTTGTTCCGTTTTGCACTTAAGCTTTTCTGTTCATTCTTCCTTCTCAGACCAGCCATTCTCTTTTCCCTTGCCTCTACGCCCTCCCTTTTGAGATTCCACTTTTTTTTATCCTGTTAGAATGCTCTAGTTTCTGCAGTATGTAAACTTTGTGTACAGGTAGGTAGGTAGTTAGGTAGGTAGCTAGGTCTGTGTGTGTGTGTGCGCACTCACCTATATGTGGTTGCAGGGGTCGATTCATAGCTCCTGGCCCTGCCTCTTCACTGGCAACTACTGGGTCACTCTCCCTGCACTATGAGCTTTATTCCACTTCCTGGCTACTCTGTGACTGTAGAAATACTTCATAACATCCCTGTGATTCATCTGAGTCTTCAACTTCCAACTGTGTCCCTTTGTTGCTGTGTCCCATCTCTGGAACAATCTGTCTGTCCACCTTGTCAATTCCTCTCAATGTTTTATATGTCGTTATCATGTCCCCCCATCTCTCCTGTCCTCCAGTGTCGTCAGGTCGATTTCCCTTAACCTCTCCTCGTAGGACATATCCGTTAGCTCTGGGACTAGTCTCGTTGCAAACCTTTGCACTTTCTCTAGTTTCTTTACGTGCTTAAGATAAGATTTTCTTCGGATTTTTAACCCCGGAGGGTAAGCCACCCAGGATAACCCAAGGAAATCAGTGCTTCATCGAGGACTGTCTAACTTATTTCCATTGGGGTCCATAATCTTGTCCCCCAGGATGCGGCCCACACCAGTCGACTAACAACCAGGTACCAACTTGTTGCTAGGTGAACAGGACAACAGGTGTAAGGAAACGCGTCGAAATGTTTCCACCCGCCTGGAATCGAATCTGGGTCCTCCGTGTGTGAAGTGGGAGCTTTAGCCACCATGCTAGGTGTGGGTTCCAAACTGGTGCTGCATACTCCAATATGGGCCTAATGTACACGGTGTACAGGGTCCTGAACAATTCCTTATTAAGATGGCGGAATGCTGTTCTTAGGTTTGCTAGGCACCCACATGCTGCAGCAGTTATTTGGTTGATGTGCACCTCAAATGTGCCTGGTGTTATACTCACCCCAAGATCTTTTTCCTTGAGTGAGGTTTGTAGTCTCTGGCTCCCTAGACTGTATTCCGTCTGCAGTCTTCTTTGCCCTTCCCCAATCTTCATGATTTTGCACTTGGTGGGGTTGAACCCCAGGAGCCAATTGCTGAACCAGGCCTGCAGCCTGTCCAGATCCCTTTGTAGTTCTGCCTGGTCCTCGTCTGATTGAATTCTTCTCATCAACTTCACATCATCTGCAAACAGAGAGACGTTGGAGTATTCCTTCAATCATGTCATTCACAAATACCAGAAACAGCACCGGTCCTAGGCCTGACCCCTGTGGAACCCCACTTGTCACAGGTGCCCACTGTGACACCTCGACACGTACCATGACTCGCTGCTGTCTTCCTGACAAGTATTCCCTAAACCATTGTAGTGCCTTCCCTGTTATCCCAGCCTGGTCCTCCAGTTTTTACACTAATCTCTTGTGTGGAACTGTGTCAAATGCCTTCTTGCAGCCCAAGAAAATGCAATCTACCAACCCCTCTCTCTCTTGTCACTGCTGTCACCCTGGCATAGAACTCCAGTAAGTTTGTGACAGGATTTCTCGTCCCTGAAACCGTGTTGGCAGTTAAGCTCATTCCTTTCTAGATGTTCCACCACTCTTCTCCTGAAAATCTTCTCCATGGCTTTGCATATTATACATGTCAGTGACACTGGTCTGTAGTTTAGTGCTTCTTGTCTGTCTCCTTTTTAAAAAATTGGGACTACATTTGCTGTCTTCCATACCTCAGGTTATCTCCCTGTATCGACAAATGTGTTGAATATTGTTGTTAGGGGTACACATAGCGCCTCTGCTCCCTCTCTCAGGGCCCATGGAGAGATGTTATCCGGCTCCATCGCCTTTGACGTGTCTAGCTCGCTCAGCAGCCTCTTCACTACTTCCTCGGTTGTATGTGTGTACTCGCCTAATTGTGGTTGCAGGGGTCAAGACTCAGCTCCTGGCCCTGTCTCTTCACTGACCGCTACTGGGTCCTCCCTCTCCCTGCTCCATGAGCTTTATCATACCTCGTCTTAAAACTATGTATGGGTCCTGCGTCCACTACATCACTTTCCAGATTATTCCACTTCCTTATCTACTCTGTGGCTGAAGAAATACTTCTTAACATCCCTCTGACTCATCTGAGTCTTCAACTTCCAATTGTGACCCCTTGTTTCCGTGTCCCATCTCTGGAACATCCTGTCTATCCACCTTATCTATTCCACACAGTATTTTGTATGTTATCATGTCTCCCCTGACCCTCCTGTCCTCCAGTGTCGTCAGGCCGATTTCCCTTAACCTTTCTTCATAGGGCACGCCCCTTAGCTCTGGAACCAGCCTTGTTGCAAACCTTTGCACTTTCTCTAATTTCTTGACGTGCTTGACCAGGTGTGGGTTCCAAACTGGTGCTGCATACTACAGTATGGGCCAGATGTACACAGTGTATAGAGTCTTGAACGATTCCTTACTGAGGTATCGGAACGCTATTCTCAGGTTTGCCAGGCACCCATATGCCACAGCAGTTATCTGGTTAATGTGTGCTTCCGGTGACGTGCTCGGTATTATACTCACCCTTAGATCTTTCTCCTTGAGTGAGGTTTGCAGCCCTTGGCCACCTAGTCTATACTCTGTCTGTGGTCTTCTTTGCCCTTCCTCGATCTTCATGACTTTGCATTTGGCGGGGTTAAATTCAAGGAACCAGTTGCTAGACCACGTGTCCAGCCTGTCCAGGTCTCTTTGTAGACCTGTCTGATCTGCATCTGATTTAATTTTCCTCATTAACTTCACACCATCTGCAAACAGGGACACTTGTGTGTGTGCGCGTGTACTCACCTATTTGTGGTTGCAGGGGTCGAGTCTTAGGTCCTGGCCCCGCCTCTTCACTGGTTGTGTGTGTGTGTGTGTGTGTGTGTGTGTGTGTGTGTGTGTGTGTGTGTGTGTGTGTGTGTGTGTATGTGTGTGTGTGTGTGTGTGTGTGTGTATGTGTGTGTGTGTATGTGTATGTGTGTGTATGTGTGTGTATGTGTGTGTATGTGTGTGTGTGTGTGTGTGTGTGTGTGTGTGTGTGTGTGTGTGTGTGTGTGTGTGTGTGTGTATGTAGACAGCCTGTACTGCCTGCACAGACAGCCTATGCTGTCTGCCAGTTTAGTTCATATTTTGCGGCACTCCGGTGCTGCCCTCTCTAGGCCTGCCCAGGTCAGTGGGACGCTGGTCCCACTCACTCTCACTCTCTCAGTGGCCTAGACTCAGTCAAGAAGTGTCCACTCCTCTCTTCCTCGTGGGCATGGCCCTCCCGGGCCATGGGCACAAACACACAAGCCTGTGTACCTACCACAACTTTGCAAATAAAGTAAGAAGCTTCCGAAGACGTTTATCATTGAACCCCACTCAGCAGAACTACCAATAAAGCTTTGTTTTACATTGGTGGGAAGCAGTGGTCACAGCAGTTGTGTTTGCCTGGAGAGAGGAAGGAAATAGGATGAAGTCATCTTCACTTCATCACCTTACACACGAAACATCCGTCTCTCAACGAGTTATCCTGATGTCGTGTCTGCAGGTTTCAGCATCCAGACACAGGTACAAGCAGGATCTAGCCGAAATTTACCCAATTTCTTCGAGAATTGTAAGTGGCTCCACATGACAGCATCCCACGCTGTTTCTCAAGTCACATGTTCAGCATCACTTGTATGTTCTGCTGTTGTTCAGCTCAGCACAGCTATTTCAGCAAGCCAGAGGTGAGTTTTGTGGTAATTTCTGCGTCCAGTGTGCGTGTCTCCCTGTGTTTGTGGGAGAGGAGGAGGAAGTGGCCATTAGTGCCTCACTCGCACCTCACCCGCCTAACACCACTATGTGCTCACTCCCTCTGCTGTGTTGTCTGCTGTTTTCCATGTGAATTCATTGCCAGAGCTGTGTATCCGAGTGCCCGAGGCCACTTGAAGCTACGTGGATCAGCATGCCACGTAGATCACGATGCCACATGGATCCCAACGCCACCTGGGGTGTGGATGAAGTCACATGGATCTACGAGCCACATGAGTTACCGAGCCAGATGTCCCAGGCCACATGTTGTGGTCTGCTACTGCCCGATTTCATGATGTCATTATGTCTGCCTGACATCACCTCAAGATGTCTGATGTCACAGTGCTGCTGACGTCACCTTGCGATGTCACACCTGACATCACTTGATGTCGCATCGAGTGTTTCAGTAATTATGTCAGCATTGTCGAGAAGATTGAGAGAAGATATATGTGTTAGTTCCTCTCAGTGTTCTCACATGTTAGTGTATGGTTTAGTGTCAATTTTGCGCACAGAAAACCATCATTTGCTAGTTAAGCCATGTTGTACCACATATACCATGGGTGTGTGTAAAGTTTTCCGTGTGTCCAGTGTGGTCTTGAGCCTAGACCCCAGAGTAGCACCTCTGTTACTTTGTCACCCGGTGTGACCAGCGCGTTTGATAGCTGATATTAGTCAGCCCCGAGCGTCAGACCCTCTTGTGCAGAAAGCTCTTATTGTTCGCCGCTCGTGATGCCCTGCAGAATCGTACCTGCTATGATTCCCTTCGAGATTTGTTTCACTTCCCCTCCAGACCTTCAGAGTGCAGTTATATGCAGAGAAACAAGTCTGGGGATGCTTAGACTAACCTCTGCTATAACTCCAACTCCCGATAGAATGACACTTGTCAAGCCGCAGTTAGCCCTGTCGGCAGGCGCTGTGTCAGCCTCCTGTCAACAGCTTCAGTGAGCTGCTGCACAAAGATGATGTCACTTTGACTGCTAGCTCGCTGTGAGGGAAAAGTTCAACAGATAGGAGTAGCAAGCGAGTATATGGTAACGATAGTTTGATTGCCGGCTGCTTGTTAAGGTAGGGTCAGTCTAGCTCCCGCTATCCCCTCCCCCCCTTTTTCCCCACCCCGAAAGGTGACGTGTGGGGCTCCGGCCAAACAGTAATCACTCGACTCACAGCTCCTAGCACAACTGTAAGTAAAAGCCTCTGCTCCTATTCTAGTGGATATTGGTTGAAAGCTTCACTTTTGACCAATAATAAACTTAGTCCTTTCAGTTTTAAGCTCCACATGAGACTTTTAGATAGCCACCACCTTTAAGTATCTTACACTTATCATGGAGAGTGTTTTCTTAAGCAGTGGTAACCTGTCTCTCTTTTCAGCTTGGAATGACAGATCGGGTCACCTGCCAACCAACGAGAAGTGTTGAAGGAGAAGGACTTTTGCAAAAGTCCGGAGACGTCACTTTCTGATCTACCTACCTGATTAACTGTAGGCGACAGCAGACAACAACCCCTCATCTTTGTAGTGGTAAAGAACCTGCTTTCCTGTCATCTGGACTGACTATTCAAGGCTATAAACTCTGTGAAGAACTAGCTGTTGGGTTGTCATCAACACCTGTGACCCCCCCCCCCATCATCAGTAACGACTACAATCTCTACAAGACGGTGTCAACCTCCACCAGACACCCCATTATAACTGTATATATTAGCGTTGAATTCAAATGTCATTTTTTTCATTTCATTTTTCATTTTTTTTTTTGAAATAGGATACACCTTCATGTTTCACTGTTTTATCTTTGCATTACTAAATAATAAAGTGTTTATCTTTGTGAATTATTATTTCTTTTTCTATTCATTAATTTTCCTGAGGAGCCAGCCTTGGTAATACTGTCTGAAGTTGTTACAGGGCTGAGTAAGCCTTCACACTCGCTCACTGCAGTCTGGTGTATGATGTTATGACTCCCAGATGTTTCGCCAAGTAGTCTCTGCCACGACTCACTCCACGCTCGCCAGCAGTGACAGCCCAGCGACAGTACCAGTCGAGAAGTGTCCTCGTGAGTTGCTTGCCAGAAGTCCTGCCCAGTTGCCGAGTTCTGACGACGCCTCACTTGAGGGCACCAGCATGTCGTGCCCCAGCTTGAGTGAAACCTGCAGTGACTCCTATGATGACTGCTTCACCGTTCTAGAGGAGACCGTACCCTGTTACATCACAGCTCAGCCGCAGCGATGTCTCCTGTGTTGCAGTATCTGTCCAGACACAGGAAGGCGTGCAGTGATGTCCATCGATGGCCTTGATTCAGTCAAGAAGTGTCCACTCCTCTCTCCTTCCCGGGCCATGGGCACAAACACACAAGCCTGTGTACCCACCACGACTTTGCAAACAAAGTAAGAAGCCTCCCAAGATGTTTATAATTGAGCCCCGCTACCAAGACATCACCCAACAAGTGGTAAAGAACATTGGTAATATGTATGTGTGTGTGTGTGTGTGTATGTATTTATGTGTGGTTTCCCCACCTTGAGCATGATCCGTATAAACTTGACAATGGCGATGATGAGGGAGCCTAAAGCGATGGAGCCGAGGTGGTAGCGAAACATTGCCCTCATGCTGGACGAGATGGGCCAGCCCAGCTCCTTCTTGTTCCTAAGATACACACAAAAAAAACTCAACAAGAGTATACGAACTGGAGGGGTATAATTCGAATGGAAGAATACACGAAGCCTGAGTAAATGAAGCGAAAGGAGGAAGTGAATTGGATAATTAAAGTGGAAGAGGAAATAAATGTAGAGGAAGTGGGAACGAGTGAAGGGAGAATGAAAGCGAAGAAAGGAAAGAACAAACGAGAAGAAAGCTGGGGCAAAGTAAGTGTAAAGAGCAAATGGAGAGGATAACCAGACTTAGTGGAAAGGGTTGTATATGAAGTGGAAGCCTGAGCAAATGAAGTGGAAGGATCAAATGGATAATAAGTTTGATCCTGGTGGATATTACTCATTTCCCCCTTCCATTTTCTTTATTCCGGTTCTCTTTTCATTTAAGCTCAATGGAGCCTCCCCTGAAGGAAGGTTCCTTGATGTTGGTGAGGGGCTCTTGATTTAGGGAATTGGATCTGTGCTCCAGTTCCCCGAATTAAGCCTGAATGCCTTCCACATCCCCCCCCCCCAGGCGCTGTATAATCCTCCGGGTTCAGCGCTTCCCCCTTGATTATAATAATAATCAATGGAGCCTCAGTAGTGCAGTGCATGTAAAGACAGTGTGGGTTATCGCATTTTGTGAAAATGCCTAGTCCACCCCACCTGGGACTTCTATCAGCTCACACAAACAAGAAGTCATGGGTATTCATGGGGGCTGGAGAGAGGTCGTGACGTGTAAGAACGTGGTCATGAAGTAACATGTAAGTAGCCAGCTGAGCAAGTGAGGGGTGATCAGTAGTTTCTTCAGAGCCACACTAGCACCTTATCAGCATGTTATTAGTGAGAATGTGATAATGGTAAACAATACCGACAATCTGATAAACAGACATGTCCAGCAGTTAGGTATCTTTATTTCGAAACGTTTCCCTTACACAGTAAGCTTTTTCAGTCGAATACAGAGGAAGCAGAAGCAATAGATACCCAACTGTTGCAGATGTGTCTTACTTATCCGTATGTCATTAGTGAGTTGATTGTAACTGCTGAAGCTTCCAAAGAAACTGACACTTGCTGTGGCCTCCTGTGCCCTATACGAGTACACAGGGCTAGAATTATCAGGCCTTAAGTTAGAAGGCCAGAATCACTAAGCCCCAATACTGGGGGTGGAATTGCCATGCCAGTCATAGGGTTAGAATCAGTGGGCCCCAGTTATAGGGTCATTAATGTTATTTCCTACATTACCAACATTCCTTCTTGAACAATACGGGGGAAACAATGGCAGAATCGCCAAAAGTTACTTAATGGTTGTCACTGATTTTCTTTTAGCACAAATGCTTATTTTTTGTTTTCTAGATTGTTTATTTAGTTACTTGTTTGTTTGTTAGACTGTATACAAAAAAGTTAAAATTTTCAACTAAAATGAGGCTATTCCAGATGTTTTTGTTTTGAAATTACTGACTGGATGTATTTATTAATAATGTTTATTATGTACCATATACCAACCTAATTATATTTTTTATAATTTTTACAATTTTTTCCATTACAGCAAGTTATTAAATTATTTCTACAGAGCCGTATAAGACAGTAAATTAGAAGAAATCAAACTTTATATAAAAAATTAAGATTTATAACATGAGGCTTGAGATAGACCTGCCTAGTATGGGCCAATAGGCCTGCTGCAGTATTCTTCCTTTATGTTCTTATTTACCTGGTGAAGTACCAATGAGAAACAGCACCAGCAATGGTCACATCCTGACAGGCGAGGATAAACTGTGTGATCCATAGGATAGCGAACAGGTGGTAGAGACGCATGTACTGAGGAAGAGAGAGAATGTTAGCTTAGGCTGTCTACCTGGCTCGCTGGTAATGTTCAGTCAAGTCACATAATGAAATAAGGTGAGAGTTAAAAAATCACGAAAATACATTAGGAAAATCGGTTTAAAAATATAGATATCGGGGTGATAATAAATATCACGTTATCAAGAGGAAAGCCTATTAATGTAGTCTTGAAACACACACACACACACGTGAAATCAACGGGATATGTACTAGGAAATAATTCAACAGATTGGTTAGTAGATCAGTGGAATAACTTACAAGAGGTGTGGTTAAGTGCTTCAACGAATGGAAATTTAAAACATACATATATATATAATATATATATATATATATATATATATATATATATATATATATATATATATATATATATATATATATATATATATATATATATAAAAGAATTAATTATTGAAGATGGGACGCCTCAAGCATTGCTCTGCTCCCGGAGCTACAAAAATGTAACTGCAACTTGACAATTACTCACCTTGATAAAATCACTAATGACGAAGACTACTGAGTTGTTGTACAACATGGGTTGTCCTGAGGTTTCTATAATGATCCATCCCAGCACCCAGAGTGCACACACCAGCGCCATCCATATGAACGTCTGCACAACACAACAAATACACCTCAGCTACTTTTGTATGAAAATATTAACGAAAAATTGTTTGAGTTATGACTGTTTAGAAGCACTAAACATTCTTCTCAAGTCTCTTGAATTATGGAAGGTGTGCTATTAAGATCAAAAAGTAATATTGATTTTTATGTTAATATATTTATGAGCTAGCAAATTATAACCTTAATATTTAAAGAGATGGTCTCCCAAGCCAGTGGAAGGCCTCTGTCAGATGACCAAAAGCTCCAGTGGCGGGTCACCATGTGACTAAGACCCACGTCAGGAAACACTTGCAGTGTTTCCTTACGAATCTTACCTGACTTAACCTAACCAATGAGCAAGCATTGAACCATGTGGGCTGTAATCAGGTTTGATCCGATTTGTTCCAGTTTCTTGGATCAGCCTATAGATATATTTATAGCATTTAGGTATGTTTACAGATTCTTATTAAACTCTGAATTTCAAGCAAGTACAGAAAAATGAAACTGAATGATAAAATTGTTAATGTGCAAAATACTGTATATATTTTCCAGGAATACAGTAGTTATATGTATATAGATGGCCATACTGTATTTAATAAAAATTATGTTATCGAAAATGGGAAGCTGCGCCTGCGCAGACGGGACTTGCCATTGTTGTTTGAACTGGACATAACCGTTAGTGAATAATGGGAAGAATTTTTCATGCTCTAGAGGTAAAATTGGGCTGACACCTCTCAAATAGGAGACAAAATTGTTGGATGTGCATTCCTGCATAACCTGAGATATCAGACGACTGGACAAGACAACTCCAGGAACCTCAGATAAGCTATCTAGATTTGTGTCATAATTCTGGCCAGTATTTTCATAAATTTAGTTAGTGAGGTTTTCTGAGTATGATACACCTTGATCTCCAGTCAAATTGGTGAGTGATTTTAAGATATTCTCCTTCTGTTATGTATATGTGTATATATATAATCATTTATTAATTTTAATATACAGTCCACAAATTTACATATTTACCAGCATTCTTGGTGATACATATTTCATTTGTAATTAATGGGTCCAGAGCAACTTGTGGATATGACAGTGGTAGGTATCGAAGGGGAACATTTTTTGCGACCTAGGTGTCCCAAATTCCTACTTGTCTAACTGATAAATAATAATTATCTTTGTTCATTTACTGTTATGTACATTCAGAGAAATGTAATTGTCCACAGTTAATATGAGAGGAATATCTCAGATTTCTTTTCATAAATAGTGAGATGTTGATAAGTTTTATTTGGTTCAGTGAATGGTGCTCCAGAGGCAGTGTGGTGAATGTTCCAGAGGCAGTGTGGTGAATGTTCCAGTGGCAGTGTCCTGAATGTTCCAGTGGCAGTGTCCTGAATGCTATAGAGGCAGTGTACAGAATGTCAGTCACTGTAGTGAATTTTAGAGTGGCAGTATGCTGAATATTACAGAGGCAGTATGCTGAATGCTACACAGGCAATGTGCTAATTATTACAGTTACAAGTGGCACTGCTTTACCCAGACTGGCTGGAAGAGGATAAGAGGCATGGCAGCCACAGCCCTTCCGGCCTCTTTGAAGAGCGCTATGACCAACCTGATCCGATTTCTCATTGCTATCAGAATGATCAGGAGCAGCACCTGCGGGTGGAAGCAATGGCACGGGTGTTAGACACCTAAAATGCAGAGAAAATAATGTTAAATAACAACATATATAATTCTTGAAGCTACTAAGTGTCTTCAACTGTGGAACTCACCGAACAGATAGTAGCCACTATGGCGCCAATAAGCAGTGACTGAACACGTTGCTGCATCATTTGTATCTCGTAGGGGCTGCTGCTGGTGCTGTTCATCATGGCCTGCAGCTGTTTGCTTTGCTGGGTCTTGAGTACCCACAGGTAGATGGTACCACCGATGCTGCCACCTATCATAATGATGACGGACAACCACACAACCACCTGTGCCAACAACCTGAAGACCAATCACACAGGTAAAAAAAAAAACACTTGTATGAGCAATGTTTAGACTTGAGTATATTTTGTGGTAAGGCCCTCTTCAAGGGAAGCTCCTTGGCATGGTGAAGAGGCTCTTGGTCTGAGGAATTAGACCTGTCAGTCTCCTTCCTCAGACCGAACCTAATTACCCCCAATCCCCCCTTCCCTATCCCATCCTCCCCTTTTTCCTTTCCTCCTCCTCCTCCCCACCCCTCCCTTTCGCCCTTCCTTTTTGGCCTTTGGGATTTTTTCCCACAGGCACTCTAGTTCCTAGGTAGGGGACAGGGTACTGGGGTCCATCCCATTTCGTTGAGGTTCTTGGCGGTGGCGTAGTTTGCCATGGAATCCGGATTGCCTGGGGATGTCCTGATCCCTCTCTGGTATCCCGGAGGGTGGCTTTGGGTGTCTCTCGGGCGACGGGTGTATCTCTGGAAGCCACCTTTCAGATTCCAGGGGTGGTGGCTGAAGGAGGTATGCTTTGTGGCAGATATCCGGCCGCCCTCTCTTTTGTCCACCGAAGTAGCTCGGCAGATGTGAGGTTGCTATCCCCGATTGCTGGTTTACTGGCATGATGGATAGGGTATGGCACAGGTTCCATGCTGCATCTACGCTACTTGCGGTGCTGAGGTCCTCTTGGGCGAGGAGGGAGATTTCTGGCCCTTTCATTCCTCCTAGGAACTATCCCTCCCCGGTCCCCCCTTTTTTTATTCTTTTTCTTATTTTTATTTTCTTTTCTTTCTTTTTCTTAAAAACAAAAAGAAAGAAGTAGCCTAACCATGGAGAACCCAATCCATGAACCTGCTACCCCCGGGCCCCTTCTTGATACTGCACCCCGTTCTGACCCCGCCTTGTCTTTGGACCACTCTTCGGACACTCCTCATGTCTCTGAACCTCTTGCTGGTGCTGTTTCCTCACCCGTTTCAGGTACTGAGGTCTCGACTGACTCCTTCGATTTATCTGACCTCCGCTCTCCTTTGACTATGCTTCCGGCCTCTCCCTCTACAGTGCAGCAATTTTTGAATCGCCGGCCCGTTCCACGTCGGACCAACTCTGGTCCCATGCCTAAATGCCAACGACAATTACCTGCTGATGATACTTCTCCACCTTCTCGTTCTTCTCATAAAAGATCAACACGTCTTGCACTCCCTTTCCACGCTCAGTTTCAGAATGCACAATGGACTAAATTCTTCACTTTACGACCGACTTCCTCTACCGCCTATCTTTCCGACCACAGCATTGGCAAGGCACTCCTACGCCATGTTGGTAAAGATATTTCTTTTCATGCTCTTAAGAGCGGTATGCGCATCATCACTGTACAGAATGTTACCCAAACTCATTATCTTTCTCTTCTTTCTTATATAGATACTGTTCCTGTCACTATTGAAAAACATCATTCCCTCAATTCTAGTAGTGGTACCGTCATTCTGCCCCATACCATAATTCAACAAAATTTCCAGACATGTGGCAATGACATTCTTGAACAGCTGGAACTCCAAGATCTCCCAATCCTGCCTGCGGGCGGAGACGATACCCTAGCAATGTGGCTCGTTTAACTTTTGACAGCCGTGAACTCCCATCCTCAGTTTATGTAGCAGGACATCAGTTACAAGTTTGAAAGGTGATCCCTACACCACAACAGTGTAGAAATTGCTGGCGATTTGGCCATCCAGCGAAATATTGCAGATCTATAACTGAATGCCCAGTCTGTGGTGCCGATGACCATTCAAATACGTCTTGCAATCGACCTCCCTCTTGCCTTGTCATGAGGCTCACCCATAGTACTCTAGCCATTGCCAAGTCTACTTAAATGAGTGGGAAATTCATTACCTCAAAGAGGCAGAAGGTCTCCCTTATGCCATGGCAGTTTCTCATCTCCGCCTCCAAGGGAGACTACCTCGTGTTTCTTATTCCAGTGTTTCAAAACGTCCCCCCTCTTCTGGGGTCCCATCATCTGCAGCCTCCTCTGTGGTTACCTCTCCCATAGTCACTCCTGTATCTAATTCTTTTGCTGTCCTAGGCTCAGACGCCCCTACTTCAATGCCTCAGTCTGTTCTCGCTTCTTCGTGTTCTCCCTCACAAGCCTCAGTATCGACGAGATCTCGTACGACACCTCCTCCCAATCGTCCCTCTACTTCTCAGAAGTCAAAAAAAGGTCCTTTAACCCCTCCTTCCCTTCTTCCACTTCCTCATTTTACCTTCCCTGTCTCTGTACTGGGTTCTTTCCCTATCACTAGCTCTGTTACAAGTGTAGAGGTTCACCCTCTTTCTCGTACTATACCTACCTCCCCTGTTCCCTCCCAAGTTTCTTCCTCTTCTGCCACCTCCCAGGTTTCTGCCGGTTCTGTCCCCTTCCATGCTTCTTCTCCAGTTCCCTCCACCCTTTTGCCCCCCTTACCTTGGTACAGTCCATTACAGTTCCAATCTTTACTCATCCTCCCCCTACCATCTCCAATATTGTCTCCCATACGACGTCTCTGAATTTCAAAACACTTGAAGCAATCTCTGAATATACTGCAGAGACCAAATCATTAATGGACACTGATCCACCCTCTTTTCCTTCTCTCTCCTCTCCTCCATCTGTGCAACTCCTTTTTCACAGCGCACCGTCCCTTCGCTGCTTGACTGTTTTCCGCTGCCTCCGCATGTGGGCTTTTCTAACCCCTCTAGTCCATAGGAACCCTTACCTGCGGATTTCAGGTATCTTTATCATTGCCAATCATGGCCTATTTACAGTGGAATATACACGGCCTCAGGGGTAATCGGGGTGAGCTTCAGATGTTACTCTCCCAGTTTTCCCCTGTTGGTGTTTGCTTACAGGAACCAAAATTACACTCTTCTGTTATCTCTCCCATCTCAGGCTATAATTTATTGTATTCTTCAGATCCTTTTCCTGATGGGACTTTTAATGAAAGTGCCCTTCTTTTACGCACTGATATTCTGTACCATCAGCTATTTGTTCGTACTTCGCTGCATTACACAGCAGCCCGTATCCACTTGCATAGGTGGTATATGCTCTGTTCTTTATATCTCTCTCCTACAAGGGCATTATCTATTCCAGATATTGCCTTTCTTGTTTTGTCATTACCGCCACCGATTCTGTTACTTGGCGATTTTAATGCCCACCTTTTCCTTTGGGGGAGTCTTGCTGTGATTCCCATGGCATTCAGTTAGAGGCTTTTCTTGCCACCCATCTCCACCATGTTTTAAATACAGGTACTCACACCCATTTTGATCCTTGGACTCACACTCTCTCTTGCATCGATCTCTCCGTCTGCTCTTCCTCCACCGCATTAGACTTCACCTGGTCTGTTCTCCCAGATTTACATGACAGCGATCATTTCCCAATCATTCTTACTTCCCCTTCATATTCACCACCTCTTCATATCCCACGCTGGCAATTTGATCAGGCAAATTGGAACCTTTACTCACAACTAACTGTTTTTGGTGAGGTTCCTTCTTCGTCCTCCATTGATTAGCTTTAACACCTCTTCTCATCCTCCGTTTTAACCGCAGCTTCACATTCTATACCCCAAACTTCGAGCAGGCATTCTCAGAAATGCATGCCTTGGTCTCCTGCTTGTGCTCATGCAGTATGTTTGAAATGCGCTGCATGGGGCAGGTACTGGTACAATAGAACCACAGAGAGACTTCTTGATTTTAAGCAGAAGCGTGCAATCGCTCGCCATGTCATCCGTGACGCTAATCGCACTTGCTGGCGAGATTATGTCTCCACCATCACCTCTGCTTCCTCTATGAGTGCAGTCTGGAAAAAAGTACGAAAACTGAGGGGTAAATATTCTCCTGACCCGGCTCCTGTTCTGCGGGTTGCTGGTGTTGATATAGCAAACCCACTAGATGTTGCCAATGAAATTGGCAATCATCTTGTTCATATTTCTCAGGGGCTCCATCTATGCCCCTCATTTCTTTCCTCAAAGTCTGCCAGAGAGTTAGCACCCTTGGACTTTTCTTCTCTCAGAGAAGAACAGTATAATGTGCCTTTTACACTTCAAGAACTGGAGGCAACACTCTCAGCTTGCCGATCATCGGCAGCTGGGCCCGACGACTTTCATATTCATATGCTACAACATTTACATCAGTCAGCCCTTGCAGTCCTATTATGCCTTTTCAATCTTATTTGGTCACAAGGAGTTCTTCCACAGCTGTGGAAATCTGCCATTGTTCTCCCTTTCCGCAAACAAGGCACTACGGGACATTAAGCCTCCCACTATCGTCCCATTGCTCTTACCAGTGCAGTTTGCAAAGTGATGGAACGCCTGGTAAATAGAAGTTTAGTGTGGTATTTAGAGAGACACAACAGTCTCTCCACTCGTCAATATGGCTTTCGTAAGGGACGTTCTACCATAGACCCCTTACTACGCTTGGATATGTATGTTCGTAATGCCTTTGCGAAAAACCACTCAGTTATTGCCATATTTTTTGACCTTGAGAAGGCATATGACACAACTTGGAGCTATAATATTTTGGCCCAAGCCCACTCCTTAGGCCTCCGAGTCAATCTACCATTCTTCCTTAAGAACTTTTTAACTGACAGACATTTCCGTGTTCGGGTTAATAATGTGCTCTCCCCAGACTTTATCCAAGCTGAAGGTGTCCCCCAGGGATGTGTTCTGAGCACAATACTTTTTCTCCTTGCTATAAACGATTTGGCCTCTAGTCTTCCATCAAATATTTGGTCATCACTCTATGTTGATGACTTCGCTATTGCCTGTGCAGGTGCTGACTGTCACCTCATTACAGTTTCTCTCCAGCATGCGGTCGACCGTGTTTCCAATTGGGCCACCACACATGGGTTTAAATTTTCCAGCACCAAAACTCACCAAATTACTTTCACTAGACGCTCTGTCATCTCCGATCATCCTTTGTACCTCTATGGCTCCTGTATCCCTGAACGTGATACAGTCAGGTTTCTGGGCCTCCTCTTTGACCATAGGTTATCCTGGAAACCTCACATTACCTCTCTGAAGGCAACTTGTCACAGCCGGCTGAACCTTCTTAAAATCCTTGCTCATCTTTCATGGGGAGCTGATCGTCGAACTCTCCTTCGCCTACATTCCTCCCTCATTTTATCGAAACATGATTATGACGACCAGATCTATTCAGCGGTTTATCCTGCTACTCTCTCTAGCCTTAACCCCATTCATCACCAAGGATTACATTTATGCCTTGGTGATTTTCGCTCTTCCCCTGTTGAGAGCCTCTATGCAGAAGCGAATGTTCCATCCTTATCCGATCGCCGTGATGCCCATTGCCTTTGCTACTATGTACACTCTCATGATCTCCGCAATCCTTCCATTTAAAGAATGGTCACTGATATTAGTAGACACTGTTTATTTGTTTGCCGCCCCTGTTTACTCTGTCCCTTCTCTTTTCGCCTACATTCGCTCTTGTCTTCTCTTCAATTACCACCTTTCTATGTTCATGTAGCATCTCACTTTTCCCTACCCCCCTGGGAAGTTCCAGCTGTTCGAGTCTGTTCTTTCTCTCTCCCTTGCTCGAAAGCCCAACTACCTACGGTCGCTTCCCACTCTCTTTTTCTTGACCACTTCCACTCTCATTCTCATGCCATTGCAGTGTACACAGATGGCTCTAAGTCTTCCGACTGTGTAGGATTAGCAGCAGTGTTTCCAGACAGCGTCATACGAGGGCATTTACTATCTTCGGCTAGTATTTTTACTGCTGAATTGTATGCCATTCTTGCAGCACTTATCTGTATTGTATCTATGCCTGTGTCATCATTTGTAGTTGTCTCAGACTCCCTTAGTGCTTTACAGGCTATACAGAAATTTGATACACCTCAACCCTTAGTCCTCCGTATCCAACTTTGGCTATGCCGCATCTTTACCAAGCATAAAGATATTGTTTTTTGTTGGGTCCCTGGTCATGTTGACGTACAGGGCAATGAACAGGCAGACACTGCTGCGAGGTCAGCAGTACATGACCTACCAGTTTCATATAGAGGTATTCCATTTACGAACTATTTTGCTGCAATAGCTACCCACCTTCACACCCGTTGGCAACAATGTTGGTCTACTATGCTCAGTAACAAACTTCAATCTATTAAACCGAGTATAGGTTACTGGCCGTCTTCTTGTCACCAGTGTCAAGGTTTGGAGACTACTCTCTCCCGTCTTCACATTGGCCATACTCGTCTTACTCATGGATATCTCATGGAGAGGCGCCCTGCTCCTCTCTGTGAGAATTGCCAGACTCCATTATCAGTCAGCCACATTCTGTTGGACTGCCCACTTTATCAACGCGCACGCAGAATTTGCCTCCATCGTCGTCTTCGCTCCGCTGCTCTCTCGTTACCTTCCCTTCTCGCTGATGGACCCACCTTTCATCTGGACTCTCTGACTTTTTGACAACAACTGACTTACTTCACAAACTCTGATGCCTTCAGCCCTTTCTGCCTCAATCTCTTGCTACCCTCTACCCCTGCACTATCCCCTGCCCCGCTGTTTTCTGTAACCCACTGATCATCCCTCCCCCCTTCTGCCGCCCAATACCCTCGCTTCCTTCCCTACCCTGCAGCGCTGTATAGCCCTTGTGGCTTAGCGCTTCTTTATTATAATAATAATAATTGTGGTAAGGCGTATCTTGGGTATGAGTGAATGATGTGTTCAGATTACATTTAGTGTTATTGTATGTTTCAGTTACATGTTGGAGGGGTTGCGTAGTACTTTTTATATAATATTGACATGTTTTAGGTATGTTAGATATGTATGCAGAACAACCACTGTTAAAAAAATAGTGAAATCCAAACGCTTTCATGATTTCTCACATTATCAAGGAATTTCGCTATTTTTTCACAGTAGTTGTTCTGCATTATGTCACCTGTTTACTGTGATCTTATTGCATACGTATGTATTGTATATATAGAGTTTTAAATAACATATAAAAAAACTTGTATGGGCAGTGTTGATGTATCTATTATTAAGAGGGCATTGCACTGATTTTTAAAGTTCGTTGAAGTTTGGCACAGGACTGAAGGTTATTTAGGCTCCGTACTAGCCGTTAAAATGTCCTACCCCCCCTTCCCCCAGCACAAAATATAAGGATCTAATATACAAATAAAGATGGAGTAATTTCAGATCACTAAAGCTATGGGATATGAACGAGAATGAATCTGACATAATAAGCATGTCTAACGTAAGAGGTAACAAGGGAGGGAAACTAAATAGCTTGGAGAAGAAAGGGAATAAGCAATAAATTTATTTAAAATTGGTAAAAATAAATTAAAAAAGACTCGTGTTACAATCCAGAATTCACATAATATCAAAATTTTCAGAGGTACAATTCCAAAAAACAGAAGCCATTCATATTACTAGTACTGAAAAATATACTAAATATTACTAGTACTGCAAAATATATTAAGATGGTTATTAAAAGAAAAGGACTGTGATAAGGATTGTTATTGTAACTGTTGATTTCAACTATGAAGTGCGTACCCTGACTTACAGGCTGGACCAGTGAACACTATGCTCTGATAAATTCTTAATATATAATGACACTGTTAAGAAGTAAAGAGATAGAAATTATTAAATGTTACAGCTACATTTTATTGGAAATATCACGAGAAGGAAAAAACAAAACTATACACATATAGGACTAACTGGATTATAAGAAGGGAAAACATTATCATCTTACAGTAAATTAAGGAAACAAAACAATACATATTATATTACAAGGAATGTATATATACGAGTTACATGAAGAGTTCCTCAACTTATGTAACGACAGAACTAAACAGCTGATCCCCCCCCCAAAAAAAAAAAAATAAAAAAAAATAAAGGGTTAAGCCGGAAAAGTTACCAACTCAAGAGTACGAGGAAATTTCTTTTAACAAAAAAAAACTGAAGATCCCTACATGGTTATAGATGTAATATTAGGCTGTTAACTAACAAAAATAAGAGTTGGCTTTAGGACCAATACTCGCTGCCAAGCGTCAAGGACGCCATGGTAAATCTCGGTGGCCTTTCCAGGAGTCCACAGCCTCCAGTTATGTACGAGTGTTGGAATGAGTCATGCATAACCCACTTACCAATCATGTACGTTATACATATTTACACTAACTTACACATCACAGTGGATGGGCCATTAGCCTTTTGTCTTACTCTTATTATTTACTCATCCTTGTTCACACCTCTCCTTTCTGTCCTTTCCTCATCTTTATTCCCGCCTACTTAACATATCAGTTGTGAACTGTTATGTTAAGAGGTGCTGAAAAGTAATAAAAAAATAAAAGACAAACGAACAATTGGTGTGCCAATGATTCACCTGAGAAGTATGGTGATGACAATAGCGAAGACGAGTGCTATAACACACATGATGAGCATCTCCTTCCAAGTGGCCTGCAGGTCCCGTCCAGCGTTCCTGAAAAAACTGCTGATGCTCACACCGAAGAGGATGGCGCTGATGGCGTTAGTCTTGTTGGAAATACTGCTGCTACTGAGCGGCAGACACAGGTAGCCTATCAACGTCGAGCTGAAACAAGAACAAATTGAGGCACTCTTCGATATGCACACTTAGTTGCCTGGGCAACTATATATATAAATGGAGAGACAAAAACAGATAAAAAAAATTTGGTGTAAAGTATATAGTGAACGACAAAAAACTTAGCAACATACACAGAGGCAAAACTAAAGTAAACAGCGCTAGTGTGGTGTCTGCACCTGAAATAATTGTAGATATATGAAAAAGTTCGAAGAAACTGGCTGAGAAATACGAGTCAAGACTGAGAACATGAAATATGTAATCACATATATGATCAGGATTACAAGAATTTTTATTTTAGCGCTGCCAACAGCAATAGGAAGAGGCTACAATTATAAACCCAGAGGGTAACGCACAGGGCGAGGGTGACGAGCGGGGTCCCCCAAAGATCAATATTAGGATCCATGTTACGGTCTACCAGAGACGATAAAGGCCTGTGTAACACTGGATAGGGAACCGTTACATGAAGACTTAGTCATGACCACATACAACTCACCTATTGCTGCACCTTGATATTACCTTACCTGGGTGCAGATTTGCGAGGACTTAGAAGGTGCAGAAGGTGCTCCAAGACTCACCTGTTGGGTGAACAGTTATTCACGCAGGTTCCAAGCATAACCTCTCCTTTAGCTAGACCTTCTGCTGTCGATACGCCAAACGAAAGGTACCTGAAACATACACCGGTTATGTTATCTGCTGCTCAAATAACCCTACAAGTGTTATACTGGTAGAAGGAACCCGATAAAGGTATAATACTTATAAAAAACTGGGTATTGGTTTACTATGGTAGAAGGAATAGTCAAGATATTATACTGCTAGACAGCACTCAGGACCGATTACTCACGGCTTGCTGGTGAAGTTTTGGCCAGAGTTCGAGAGGTTGAAGTACTTTTTATTGTTTTGGCCGCAGACGTTGCCATACCGATCGTATCCGTGGATAAGGCGCTTCGGGTTACTCTTAACGCCCACATACACCATGAAGGCGATCTGAGGGGCAGAGAGGGATTACAAGGTGGTCAGCGAGGCAGACACGGATCAAGTAGGTGATGTCAGGGACATAAGGATCTAAGGAATGGCTAAGGCTTAAGAAGGAAAGAGGGAGAGGGACCAGAATAGTAATTAGATTAAAACCATGTAGATGAGAAAGGAAGGAGAATGAAAGGAAACAGAAGTGAGGAGAGGAGAAAATATAGTAAGGGGGAGAGAGATCTCGCACAGTTATCACATGAAGAGGGGCATTATGATATGGATCAAGGGATATCAGACGTATAAGACTCACAGTGCCAACCACGAAGGCGACGAAGAGGATGAGGAAGATGACATCCCTACACACGCGGTCCTGAAGCCTCGTAGCGAAGTCATCGTCCGTAGGTGGAGCCAACGTCTTCCCATTGAGCTGTAGATAGAATGAGAAACTCAGAATTGTGTGGGAGAGTGGGGGGGGGGAGGTTGAATCAGGGGCGGGGTTGTATGTGTATGTCGAATTGCCTATTTGTAATTACCAATTTATGGTTACAGGAAAAAACGTTTTAGCTCGTGGTGTTGCGTTTCGCGTAAGTTAATAAAATCTTGTTAGAGAAAGGATACAGATGCAACTGATGACATTTTATTGTGGCAACGTTTGGCTTTCCAGGAGCTTTGTCAAGCCGTTCATCGTATTAATTTACCTAACATTTTGTCGATAATTCTACCATTATTACTAATAAATCTTATTGGTTTTGACACAGTACACAAATAACCTGCACATAGGAAAAAGTAAAGCTTATGACGATGTTCGGTCCGTCTTGGACCATTCAAAAGTCACACTGACAGGGCGTGTCAGGACGGGCCAGGACGTGTCCTGGCCCGGGTCTTCTCCATGTGGTGACCCGGTAGTGACTCCCTCCCGAAGGAGAGTTGGTACAAATGATGTACCGTTTACAGCCCTATGGCAGACAAGGTGAATATTCGTGTCATAAGCTTTTGTATGTGCGGGTTATTTGTGTATTGTTCCAGTCATGGTATTGTTCCTTTTTGTTCTTTATTGACACAGTACATTATTTTTTTTAGGTAATTAGATTCATTCCATCATGAAAGTTGTCAATGCGTTATTCATACGATTGTCTGGTAATAATTCGTCTGATCACCATGGGTGTCTATTCTACCTATCTTAAAAATTGTATCACACAAATTATCTTCATGGGTCCATTTCCCACTTTCTTCCATTTCTGTTACGTAACATTTAACATTCAAGTCCGTTATTACCCATTTTGTGTGTTCTTTTTCATCTTGTTAAATTTTACAATAAAAAAAGTGCAAAACAAAAGAAAAAAAATGTTAGAAAAATTGTGTTGTGTGAAAGGAACAAGGAAGGCAATGAATAGCTAATGTTAACATAGCTAACACTGGACTGGCTAGCTAGATTAGTCTGATTATTGTTGGGTTTAAAGACTGTTGACTACACGAGTCATGAAGGACACGTAAATTGTTCACCACCAGTCAAGAATGCTTGATACCTAAAACTGAATTTTCAGCAAACTCAAATGTATATACATTGAGAGAAACATGCCTCTTGCTGTATATATCCCATGATAAATTAGACACATGTGCAACATCTGGGTATCTTTATTATGTAGACGTTTTGCCAGCCAGTGACTATCAATACGATACAGAAGACTGGAGAGGTAGATGGTGAGGAAATCAATTCCTCAGCCTAGAAGTAGGTGTTCAATACCGCAGCCTTGAGTTAACATTACCATGCCTACATCTAACATTCTGGACTAGACTATGGTAAGTTAGGTTAATCTTACATACCCTGTCAAACATTCTGGATTATTTTGAGTCATAGGGTGAGTGGACTATAGTGAGGTATTTTCTATTTTGTTTAATAAGGTTCCTCACAAACGAGTAATCTCAGCTATCTCCTCCTTATCTTAACTCATTTACTCCTCCGCCTCCCTCCCCTTCTCCATTATTCTCCTCCCTCTGCTCTCCCCCTTCCTCATTCTCCATCTCCTCTCAATCTTTCTCCATTTCTTCTTCCTCTTCCAGCTCCTCCCCCTCTTCTTCTTCCAGCTCCTCTTCTCCTTCCAGCTCCTCTTCTTCTCCTTCTTCCAGCTTCTCTTCTTTTCCCTCTTCCAGCTTCTCTTCCGTACGTGGTTGCCTCCTGCTCAGCCTGGCTCACTCACCAAGACTCTCCACACAGTATAACATAACTATGAGGCAGCAATACCAATAGGGAGCGCCGCCCCTTCATCAATTATTTCATGCTACTGGACGACACAGCCATCTTTTGTACTCTCTGGCTCGTGTACTTACCGCCTCACTGGCTTTACTCGCTAGTACTCGCCTAGTTGTACTCGCTTGTATTCACCGAGTTGTTCTTAGGTGTGACTTTGTAAATGGTCGAAGTTGGACCGAAACGTCGTCCTAAGCTTTTCTCTCGCCTATGTGCGGGTTATTTGTGTATTACGTAGTTGTGCTTACAGGCGTCAGTTCACAGCTCCTGGCCCCGCCTCTCGGCTCACATCGACCGGGTTCGTTAATTTTTGAGCTGCAGATCTCGATTGTACCTCGTCTTAAAGCTGTGACAAGTACTTGCCGGCACCGCCTATCATCTTGTGCGTTCCACTTGAGACGGAAAGGTATTTCCTGTGACTGCTATCTATGCGCGTGCGTTTTACGATGCGTACGCTCTCAAGGTTGCGTGCCCTGTTGTGCATACGTCCTCCAATGGTCGTGCGTTACGGTCTCTTGCGATTGTGCGTTTTCCAACGTGACGGGGTTTGTGCACGCGTCTGTTTTTCGGTGATGTGTGCGTGCACTGTTATGTGCGTATTACAGCGAGATCCTAGTCCACAGAGCCAAGATTTCGTATCACAAGCAGTACAGAGGCATGTTGTAAGGACCACCTGCCTCTGCACAACCGTCTCACTCTCACTAATAGCGAAGTGGCTGCTGGAGTTCAACCCAAACAAGTTCAAGATCATGTAGGTTTGGGAGGGTGAAAGAAGCACAGTCGAAGCAAAAAGGCTAGACAGTACCGTTCATAGAGACAGATCTTGGGGTGAGCAGCACACACAACATATCGCCAGAGGTACACATACGCTACACAACACAAGGCTGGAGCCCACAGCACCATTATGAACCCCACAGCACCAGAATGAAGCCCACAAAGCTAGAATGGAGCCCACAGCACTCAGAATGGAGCCCACAGCACTCAGAATGGAGCCCACAGCATTAGCATGGAGCCCACAGCACCAGCTTAGATCCCACACCTGTTGAAACATATCCAAAACTTGAGAAAATACAAAGGCTTGCAACAAGACTAGTCCCGAAGCTGAGGCAAACCAACTGAACCAATTGATCTTAGAAGAGATAAAAAAAAAAAAACAGAGAAGACATGATGACGACGTACAAGATACCCCGAGGATCGGGACATTCTGTGAGAAATGCGAGGTATAGGAGTGATGGTGTACAGATGGAAGCTGAAGACAGATAACCAACAGAGATGAGAGAATATTTTGTTTATTTTCAGTGTAGTGGGACGAGCTGGATGAGAAAGTACCCGAGGCGAGTTTTACACGCAGTTTTAAGAGCAGGTAAGACAGAGCCAAAGAGGTCATTAGTTGTCAGTTATACTGGTTGATTGTAATTTAAGAAGCAGGGACCAGGAACTGAAGTTCAGCTTACGCGAATACAAGTATGTGAGCATATAAATGCTTACATTAATGCATTCGTACATGCTTACATATTTACACGCAAATACGAGCGTTCACACACAAACAAACAAACAACAAAGGTTATTGGAACACTGTAGCGAAGATAACAGAAAAAATCGGTTTCAGGGACAGGAAATCCTGCCTAATTAATCTGGAATTCTGGGAGAGAATTACAGGAAGGGCAGTCCTTAGTGACCTGTATGTTTATTAACATTATAAATGACTTGATATCCTACCTCACCTGAGATTAATTCAGAAACTAGAAAAAAGTGAGATTAAAGTGGTCAAGTGAATGAGGGAGCACCTTATAGGAAGTTCACGAAGATGGTAAAATTAAACACAGATGAGGTATAATGTGATCCTTTATTGACTACGTTTCGCCCACATAGTGGACTTTATCACGTCACAAAGAGATCTTCCTGGGTAAAGAGTACATGAGTATATATAGTGTGGGGAATCAGGTGGAGAATGTTGGGCAGGTTATATTTGAGACGGACTTGCACGATGTCTCAAATACAACATTCTCCACCTGACTCTCGACACTATATATACTCGTGTACTCTTTACCCAAGTAGATCTCTTTGTGACGTGATAAAGTCCACTGTATGGGCGAAGCGTAGTCATTAAAGGATCACATTATACCTCATTTGTGTTTAATTGTACCATCGTGTCAGTAGTTTATACCTTGTATCTCCATAGCACACAAGAGCGCGCACATGTACACACACATGTATATATATATATGTATATATATATATATATATATATATATATATATATATATATATATATATATATATATATAATATATATATATATATATATATATATATATATATATATATATATATATATGTATATATGTATATATATATATATATATATATATATATATATATATATATATATGTATATATGTATATATATGTATGTATATATATATATGTGTGCAATAAGATCACAGTAAACAGGTGATTTCAAAATATGCAAGGCAACCGCTCTGAAAGAATGGAGAAGTTCCGGGCGCTTTCGTGGCTGCTCGCATTATCAAGGAACTATGTATCATAGTTCCTTGTATATGTGAGTGCGTATATAAATAGCATACAGTGCATATTGAATAGCAGAATAAACGAGATATGTATGCAAGGGATGGGGTACATCTTCCTGATGCAGGGGTGATTTCGTTAGCCAATTCAGTGGAAGGAGCTGCTGCTAAATTGTGTAAGGCTTTAAAATGATGGACGACGGAGATATGATAGGAAAACGTTCAGAAATCAGCATAGCTCATGAAATAGTTACTGACTAAAACTAAGGGAATTAGTCGGCCAACCAAGAGAGAGAGAGAGAGAGAGAGAGACAGACAGACAGAGACAGACAGACAGACAGACAAAGACAGAGAGGTGAAGCAAAAAACTCGATAGGATGTAGTATGTGAATAGTAAGAATGCAAGAAATACAATATACGAACTAAGACTAACTGCACATGTAAGAAACATAGATATCATTGAAGTAATGGAGACCTGGTTCAACCTGAAAAGTCCGGACATGCCTTCTGAATGCCATATACAGGGACGTAAGTTATTCCGCATTTAGAGTCAACAGGAGAGGGTGTGGAGTTGCTATGTGTGTTTGGAAAAATTTAAACTGTTGATCAGAATCGAATTACATGTGGAAGGAAAACAGACGAAATCTGTTT